GGGGGGGGGTTGGGTTTTTTTCCCTCCTCAAACTTGTGCACTGAGGTCCAGCAAACTCTGACAGAGCTGGCACAACCTGCGGGCCACCTCTGTGCTGCAGACACCCCCTCTTACATAGCACCCTGTCTGGTAGCTGAGCTGCAGCAAACCAGCACATGCTGCTAACCATGCTCCAGTGCAAATTCCAAGTTTACTGTGTTAAAATTACAGGACTTGGCTAACCAGGAATGACATGGGGACACAATATTTTCTGTACATCTGCTCTGAGCTGGGAGTGCAATTCACTGTATATTAAATGAAGTGTGGGTGTGGGCTCAATCCTACGCTCGTAGAATAATTGCAAACAAATGCTGCATGTCTGTAAAATGTCACTGAAATATAACAGTGCATATTCATAATAATGGTTTAACCTTTTAATATGGTGTTTTGTAAAAGGGATTGTCACTTAGGCTTTCTGCTGTCAGAAAGGACAGTTCATAGGCTGAATTGCAGGGATGGCAGACCGAAGTGACACACTGCAGTGATACTTTCCCTGCCACTGAAACTATACTTACTTGGGCCACTGAGCAGAGATGTTCTTTTCAGTAGACCTGTGGATATTCAAACCAGCTAGATGTGGTCCACTGTTATACACCCATGAACTTGTTGGACTTAACTTCTCACCTTCACTGCTCGGATATTCTGTTACATTTCTTGGGGTGGCATTGCTTATGTCCCCTTATCTGCCGGGGCCAAAGTCAATTGTGAGTTAAGGATGGAAGTAGGGTGTTTGGAATGGCCCTGGTGCTGTCAGTAAGAGCAGGTAGAAACCAGACCAGCAGCTAAAATAGGTAAGAAGGTAGCAGAAGCCTTCATCCAGCATAATTCCCAAAGAAAACGGGGCTCAACAGCTCCGTGAAGAGAGATGGGCTTAGGGTTGTTGTCCACATGCTCGTTTATGCTTCCGCGTTTCAAATTGAGCTGGAAGAGGTCCCAACTAAACAACTCCCCAGGATTAATGGGGTACACCAAAAAACAGAAGAGCAGCATAGGGAAGAGAGGAGTAATGTAACAAGGCACATGAGGCGGAGGTAAAGATGTGAGAGAATTACATGATAAACAGCAGGATAGGAAATGGAGTTACAGGTGGCCTTAGGATGACTTCACTGCTGTTGTACCAGAGCAATGCAACTAAATAATTGGACTTTTGGAGCAGTTTTGCAGAGTTTTGGTTCAAGAAGCAAGCCAGAATATCAGACAACATGGTATATGTATTTGTTCTTTCTTGGCAATGAGAAGTTACTCCTTTGAAGTAAATCGCAGATATGGGTCCAGAGCGGAAGAAAATACCATAAAGAAATATGGAAGTTGTGATTAACTGTTTTTGTGAGTAATGAGTGATTTGAGTGGTAGAGACTTTAAAGGCTTGTTTGCAAGAATTAGGTGATATAAATTGCCAGCCTTCATGCCACTTAAATCCCTTTTCCTCAGATTGTTCTGGAGTTTGAACATTTGCAGCTGCTCAGTGTGTGCGTGTTTGTGTGCACGTGCCTGCACACAGGTATATTGTTTCCATAAGCTGCCTTTCTGACTGGCTCCGTGCATTATCTTGTTTCATTATTATAACATCAGATTGCAGAGAGGTTAGGGACAAATGTACATGTAAATGATGAAGGTCTGTCCACTTCCAGGTTTGTTTCTGTAGTATTTCTATGTTTAATTATTTAAATAATCTATCTGATATTCACATGTTCCACTGAAATAAAGGGATTCGTGTTCAGCATCCTCATGAAATAATCCAAACCCTTCTGTTTAATTTGAACTTTAAGCCTGTATAGTCCTTGTTTAAACTGCCAGTGAAAATTACTTTTGCAAAAGCCTGAAACAAAGTTAGTAGCAAATGTCCTTATTTTTCAGTTATTCTGTAAGAGCAGGAGCCCTAGATTTCTAATCACCTTTCACAAAGTTAGACAAAGTGTGTGTTGTCTTTTTTTCTTTTTTCCTGTGCACAGTAGCACACATGTCAAGATGCAAAATTAAACTGAATACTTACAATTCACAAGGATTAAAAGCATTTGCTAAAAGCGTTTATGCTGTGGGAGTAAGATTTCATGTGTGCAACATGCAGAATGTCCTGGCCTTGATGTAATAAATCACTTAAGTGTATGTTTAAGTTTATGGTGGTGTGGGAAGAGAGTATAGTTATATGAAAATCTCTTATGCTTCATTTCCTTGAATGTTATATTAATTCTCTATTGAAGTGAAATTTCTGGGCAATTCTGACCAGAACCATGAACACAGGTACCTGGGTAACTTCTGAGAGTGTGATGCACATGCTTCTTGGCAAATATTGAGGAGTTCTTTTAAATAGACTTATGGATTTTTCCTTGAAAACTTAAAATCCAAATTAATAAAATAGAAACTATTTGCCTTTGTACAGCAGCCTGACTCCTTGCTCCCACTACCCTGTTTGGATAGTTCTAGATCTCCACTCGTCTGATGATTATATCTTTTTCTAATTTCCCATCTAACTGTATCAATTATCTATGCACATCCACTGTACAACAGTATTCTCTTTTAATTCTTCTTCTCTCGTAGCTAATTAAATGAATTTCTAAAGAGTTTTTGTACTGTCTCTCAATTTTCACAGCACTAGTCAAACGCTTTTGACGTCTCATAATTCTCCATTTCTCTGATCACCATTCTAGCCCTTTTTTTGTACGTGTTGCAGCTAAACTGCAGTATTTTGAACACAGTAAGCAAGAGCTGTCCATAGTATTTTAAACTTTTACAACATGGCTCTTCAGGTACCTGGTAAAATCACATGCCAATATGCTTACTGGATAAGGGCCTTTGGTTCCAGAGTTTTGAGTAAAAAGGCTGCCTGTGTTCCTGCTCGTCACTAATGTATTTTTAGGTATTGTATTGCTGGGATGCGATTGAGCTTTTGCAGCATCAGCAGATACATGGGCTTGACATCTACGTAGGTTAAGCATCTGGAGTAGTATTTTATTGTGGTTGAAGCAGGCTGTTGTGATTAATGCTTTGTGTCATACAGTGAAGGAGATTAATGCGCTATGTATAGCATGTTTCCTTATCAGGTGGAAGCAGAAGGAAGTTCCTGGTACTGCTGAGCAGTCTCTCACTGTCAGCAAAAGCGTACTGGGGGGCTGTTAGGCCTGGTTAAGTCTTGTAGTTTGTTATTTTCAGGCTGTAAAGCATTTGCATTGGCTGGCTGGCATAACTGCTAAATGTATTCCATTTCAAGTTATATGTTCGTAATAGGATGTATATCAATAAATCGAATGCTAAGGGGTTGATTGGAAATTTCCTTATTTGCTTTTATTTTTAAGAAGACTTGTATACAAGTAAGTTGTTCAGGATCTCGTCACATTATGGATGGGAGATGGGAGTTTCAGGTGTCGCTGTTTGCAGTGTGAAGGCTCCCAGGAGCGATAGTCCTGG